TCCAACCAAGCATGAGACTAGCCAGGTAGTAGCAAAAAGACTAATTGAGGAAATCATCCCCAGATATGGGGTCCCTGAAGCCATAGGTTCTGATAACGGCCCGGCTTTTGTTAGCAAAATCCTGCAAGGACTAGCCCTAGCTTTGGGAGTAGATTGGAAGCTACATTGTGCTTATAACCCACAAAGCTCTGGGCAGGTAGAAAGAATGAATCAGACCCTGAAGGAGACCCTTTCTAAATTGGTATTGGAGACTGGCGGGGACTGGGTGACCCTCCTTCCCTTAGCCATCTTCCGCGCTCGGAACTCCCCCTATGTACATGGTTTAACTCCATTTGAGATAATGTATGGGGCCCCTCCAACCATAATTCGGTGAGTGCAGCTTCCCGGTGCAGAGGACCCAGCCCCTGACTATCTGAATGTGTTGCAAGCTCTTGCTAAAGTGCAGCAGGAAATCTGACCCCTGATCAGAGCATATTACGAGGGCGGGAAAATTCCGAACCCGGAACATGGCATAGTCCCAGGGGATATGGTATGGGTCAAAAGACACCAAGTGCGGACTCTTGAGCCCAGGTGGAAGGGACCTTACGTTGTATTGTTTACCACCCCCACTGCTCTCAAGGTTGATGGTATCGCTCCATGGGTGCACCACACCCACGTTTGGAAGGTCCTGCCTCATAAGGATCCAGGGGCCCGCAAGGAGGAGTGGAAGGTGCAGCAGCATCCTGCGAATCCCCTGAAACTACACCTAAGCCGAAGATGAAGGGGATCCTGCTGATAAGTGCCTTAGTATGGACCTTCAAGGGAACCACATCTGTGACCAGCCCCCCTCAGCCATGGGGCCTGACCTGGATGCTGGTCAACGGCACAACTGGGGAGGTCATCAGTACCACAGAACACAGGGTGCCACTCAGAACCTGGTGGCCTGACCTGTTTTTCTGCCTTCGACGGATCAACCAAGGTTACCAGACCCTTTGGGGGCTGGGGCCCTACGTCCCTCTGGCTAGCGTCCAGGGATTTTTATGCCTGCCCAGAAGCAGGTAAAGGAGAGTCATGTGGGTGGGGGCCCTTCTGGTGTGCCAGATTGGACTGTGTAACCTCGAACGATGGGGGTCAGAAATGGCCAGTTACAAAGGGGGATGCTGTCAAATTTTCTTGGGCATCCCACATCATGTGCATAGGGACAAGGCTTGTGACTGGGACCAGGATTGGGTACGAATTCAATTCACCGAGATGGGCAAAAAGACTGAGGTATCACGTTGGATAAACGGGCTAACATGGGGGATAAAGCACTGTAAATCTTGGGGACATGAGGAAGAAGGCTCAACCCTCCCCATTAAGTTAACCGTGTCAGCTCCCACGCCAGCTCCCAACGCCGCCGTAGGTCCCAACCAGGTTAGAACTCCCCAGAAACCTTGAATCCAGGACAAGGGCCAGAGCAAAAAGGTTGAGAAAATGCCAACTAGAATGCTTGCCCCAGAGCCCACAAGAGGACCGGGTCCATCAACCTCTGGGTCAGATAATCCTATGTGGGAAATGGTGCAGGCAGTGGCAGAGACCCTTAGACACATCTCTTCCTCCCTCACTGATCCCTGTTGGCTATGTTACCCAGGTTCACCCCCCTTCTACGAGGCAATCGGGATAAATGGCTCCTACACTATCACCAACTCTCATCCCACTTACTGGGATGGGAGATTGTGGGGACTTACGATCGCTCAGGTCTCAGTCGCTGGTACGTGTGTAGGCACAGTCCTGACGACCCAGAGCCAGTTATGCTCCTCCTATAATAACCCCACGTGGGAGCAGGACAAGTGGATCATACCCTCCTCGGGCTGGTGGCTCTGCTCAAAGACAGGCCTCACTCCGGCCCTATCCACCTCTGTGTTCAATGCGAACAGTGAGTTTTGTGTGCTGGTGGCCATTCTACCTCGCCTAATGTATCATTCTCATGAATCTCTCCTTTCTTATTGGGAAGAAAGGCCGAGCCCCCAACGGAGCAAGAGGGAGGTTGTTACCGCCCTGACCACTGGGACCCTCTTCTCCCTAGGGATAGCAGGGGCAGGCACTGGGGTCGCAGCCCTTGTAACTCGGGAGAAAGGGCTCACAGCCCTGAGGCTGGCAGTCGACAGGGACCTAGAACAACTCCAACAGTCAATATCAGACCTGGAGCAATCCCTCACCTCCCTGTCAGAGGTGGTCCTACAAAACCGAAGGGGCTGGACCTCTTGTTCTTAAAGGAAGGTGGGCTATGCGCAGCCCTAAAAGAAGAGTGCTGTTTCTATGTGGATAAGACAGGAACAGTCAGAGATTCCTTAGCCAAACTAAAAAAAGATCTTGACAGGCAGCGTAAGGAATATGAAAGCAGGGAAGGCTGGTTTGCGTCTTGGTTCAACCACAAGCCATGGTTTGCTACCCTCCTCTCGGCCGTTGCGGGGCCACTGGTCATCCTGCTGTTGTTGCTCACAATCGGTCCGTGCATAATAAACAGGCTGCTTAGGTTTGTACAGGAAAAGCTTGACACAGTCCAACTCCTGGTCCTTCTCCAAAAATATCAGGCCCTCGATACCGCTGTGGAAGATTCCTTAGTTTGATCAAGAAAAGTGGGGAAATGTAAAGGAGGGCAGAGAGCATCGAGAGAGTCAGGAAAAAGGACTAATAACATTTAACCTAACTACCTAGAGCAAGGGCCACCCAGTTTTGTATAAACTACCCGAGGCTAAGCTTAGAAATGCGCCTGCTTTAAGCTAGATAACTAGAAGTGGGCAACAGCCTGGGGGCGTAACCTGTGATGAGTCACGTAGACATGCCTGAATGCAAGAGATAACAATGGAAGTGGTTAGGCACCTGGCGTGTTCCCTAAAAAGGTTACAATGTTTCCCATTGGTTACAATATAGAATGTGCTTTAAAATTGTTGGTTGTAGAAATGCGCGGGCTTTGGTGTAACGGTTGTGAAAATCCTATATAAGTAATACTTAAAGTTGCCTGGGGGTCGGCAGCTCGGACTCCGCCTGACTGTCAGGGGAGGTGCTGTCGGCCCCAGCTTGCTGGCTGAATAAAGACTTTGCTTGGATTTACATCTCCGTGTCCGTGTGGCTTGTTCTCTGGGGAAACCCCGGAGTCCTGGACCCTAACACACTGTAGATATTGGCGGGGTCAGCTCCAGTATCATCATCAATACCAAATCCTGCAAGGAGACCATCTCAAACAGAATAAACAGTCAGAGGGGTCCTGGAGGAAAGAGAACTCATGTGGGTTTAAGGAGAAAAGGGAGATCATGCTGGAGGAAAATAGTGGGCAGAATCTGGGAAAGAAAAGAGAGTCAGTTATGTGACCCACATCCCTGTAAATTCTTGTTTAACTCTGCCTTCCTATGTCGTGAAATCAGGCCCCAGTGGGAGGGGAAAGTCTCCGGAAACATGTCCAGCTTGGCTGGTCAGAAAGAGGATCACCAGGGAATCAGATGAAAATCTGAGCTTGTAGACTAAGGTATCAGCAGGAGGTGAGGTGCCATGCCATGGGGGTTGGGAACTCTAGCGAGCAGGACTTGAGCAGTTGCTGGCTTGGGACGGGGAGAACAGTACAGGGGGGTGAACATAAAGCCGCCCAGTTAGGCTCCACACTGAATATTATCTCCAGAGAAGGCGGCAAAACCAGGAGCAGCTGATGAGTTAACCAGATATGGTACAGAGAACACTTCCTTCTCCTTTTTGGCTGCAAGTCTATTTAAAGGCCCCGGATCCCTCCAGCCCAGCTGGCACCTGGAGGCCATGGCAGAGATGCCTACTCTGATGGGAGGCCCTATGCTGCTGTGGACAGCTCTGCTGTTCTTCGGTAAGTAGAGGCTCAGCAACCCCTCCTGGAGGGACAAGATGGATCTGGGGAGCAGCTGGGGTGGGAACATCGACAGTTTGCATGGTGACTTGTGTAGGCCGTGTGCAAACCAGGGAGCGTTTCCCGGGGATTCTGCGGTGGAGACAAGCAGGAGAGCAGGGGAACCCGGGCTGAGCAACAGCTGAGGGGAAGCAGATTGACAGCTTGGTCCTCACAGCCACTCTGGTATCTCCCCGAGGGCGAGGAGACGAGGACAGAGAGCAGCTCTCCCCTGCTCTGGGTCAGATTCCCGAGGAGAAGGTTGGCTCTTAAAACTCCACAGGTGAAGACCTCATCCACCTCCCAGGTCCCAGGGCTCAAGAGCTCCAGAAGGTGGGGAAAGGACACTAACTTATTCTCTCTGGACTTTTTCAGCTCCAGAAAACATCCTGTCAGCAGGTGAGCTCTCTGTCCTTGTCCTCTCAGCCTGCCGGTGCGTCTGCACATTGTTCTGCCCTCACGGGTCCCTTCGGCCCGTCCCCTCTGTCTGCTGACGGTTATGCATCTGTTCCTCCCCGTCCAACCTACCTCCATTGCCGCTTTGCCCTGTCGTCCTTTGTTTCCCCATTCAAAAGCACTGCACACACCCCTTCATTCTCTCAAGTCACCCCAGTTCTTCTGATGCAACAGCCTGTCTGCGGAACATCCAAGGATCCCAGCCTCTCTTCCAGGCACTGTCACAAAACCTCTGTGGTTTTCACATCATCATCGTTGTTATTATTATTGCCATTTTATAACTGAGGATGCCGACACTCAGATTAAGCAATCTGCTGGTGGTTTCACAGCGTAGAAAGGACTAGATTCTAACACAAATTCCTTGGACCCAAGCCCACTTCTCTTTCGACCGCTTCACCCCTTCCTCATTACCACCTTAGCCACTTCCCAGGCTTTCCCAGATGTGGTTCAAATCTGAACCACATCTCTCTGTTCCCGAAAGCCTTTGGGGCTGATCCTCTTGGTGATTCTCACTACCTTGTAGAAGTGACACTTTTCACTCCATAGCCACTCACAATTAAGAAGTCATAAAAATTTAGAGCGGGCAGAGACCTTATATTTCATCTAGTCCAACACCTTTATATTCATTGATAATTCACTCATTCATCCACTCAATAAATATTTAATGAACACTTACTATGTACCAGCCAGCATGCTGAGCTGTGGTTGCACATGACGGACATCATCTCTGTCTGGGGACTGCGATCCTCATTTACAGGTACTGAAATTGAAATCAAGAGAATTAGTGTGAGTTGTCCGATGATATTACATAGTAAATTTGTATGCTTACTTTTTTGTTTTCTGATATCCTGCATTTGTGTCTATCTTTCTCCCTAGGTGGGGAGCTCCCTGGGGCCACAACTCTATTTCCTCCTTCTTTTAATCCTCAGAATCAGGACAGTTTCTTATTTTCAGAAGTACTAGAGTAGACTGACTATTGATTGTCTGACTATTGGGTATGTCTGTACTTTAGAGCCTGAACATTTTTCAATTTTATTTCCCTTCTGTATCTTTCCACTGTTTGATCTTCTCAAAGACCCTAGGAAATCTGTGGTATCCTTGAGTCCCCCATGGAATAGAATATTTAGAGAAGAGAATGTGAGCCTTAAATGTACTGTGAACAATTCCATTGAAGACAGCCCCACCCAGTGGACCCACAACAGCACTTTATTGTCAAAGAAGACTTCAGTTCTGGACATCGTGAATGCCCAAGTCAGCAACAGTGGGGAATACAGATGTCAGAACAGAGAGTTTATGTGGAGCGACCCTGTGTCCTTACAAATCTTCAGTGGTAAGTTTCAGGGTGGTGGAAATATACATTCTTCCATGTGAGGAATGTCCCATCCACAGATGGGGAGAAAGCTAGTCATGCCAAAGCTGAGGGCACGAGGGGGGACTCCGGGTCTCTCCCTCCGCCACACCTCCCGCCTGCTCTTTGGGCTTCATTCAACCTTCTGGCCGTTTCCCAGTTTTCCCTCTACTCTGTTTCACCTCTACCACTTCTACATAAGTTCAAATGTATACTATCTGGTCAAATGGAACACTGGATACGTGAACACTGCAAACAGCTGAAATAGGATCAAAAGGTTTGATTTAAAGATTTGCTCTGCAGGTTCCATGTGCTATAACCTGAATGTTAGGTTGCACTCTTCATTTTAATAGATTATTTGTGAATATTCCTCATGTCCCTTTACTTAGGAACAAGTCTCGTGTCCACTTCTTACATCTTTATCACTCCCCCACTGCCAGCAATTAGTGCAGCGTGCTGAGGCACGTGTGGGTTAGTTGGCAAATGTGGAATGAACATGTGGGTTAGTTAGCAAATACGGAATGAACAAAGTAATCATTTCATTTGCCTAGCTAGGTCATTGATACATTTTACTTCAAATTTTTAAATATACATATTTTAAGTATAAACACATTTTATACTTTTCTCTTGGGTGAAAAGAGATGTTTCAACATCCATATGCAAATTCCAAATACAAACTAAAGCAGCATAGAATAGCTTCTCCATTTCCTTGGAATAGATTCTAGAAAAGTCCTCAAGGATTGCTCCTAAACACAATGTGCAACCGTATTTCCATTCAAAGTTCCTTGGTGAATGCTTTCCCGTTCTTAAAATGACGTTAGCCATGGAAGCAGACTCATATTTGACTGACTCATTATTGACAAATATTTGTTGAGTGCCTCCCAACTCCTAGGCGTTGTATTAGGCACTGAGGACGTAATGTAAGGATAGACATGGCCTCTGACCCCTTGAAGTATAAAGCCAAACAAGGAAAAGGACATTAAGTAATTATACAAATAATTAATTCAAATTTGATACATGTTCCTAGGAAGTTTGGGAGCCAATGGTGGCTAACACTAGAATTGGGGAGCCCCTCTGAGGTAAGACACTCCCCTAGACTAGGTCTGCCCATCCAGAGTAGGCGGCCTTCCTCCTCAGTGCCCAGAACTAGCCACAAGGCCGCTGAAGGGAATACTGATTTCAGACCTTCCTTGGACGGTCTCAGCAGAAATGCCTGAGAGCTTTTCTGGGCCCAGACTTACTTTGCAGGAGGAGAGAGGATTTATCAATGTGGAAAACAGGCTAGAAGCTTAATTTTACATTTCACTTTTATTGACCCAATGAGACGAGAAATAGATTAATGATAAGCCATGGTTTCTGATACTCCGTGCACGACCTCTTTTATCTATCGATCTATCATCTATCTATCTATCATCTATCGATCTACTCATCTGCTGTTAAATAACATAATGAATACTTTCCAGACTGGCTGCTCCTCCAGGCCTCTGCTGAGGTGGTGATGGAGGGTGAGTCCCTCTTCATCAGGTGCCACAGCTGGAAGAATCGGACCACCAAAAAGGTGACGTACTACAGGAACGGCGAGGCCCTCAAGTACTGGTATGAGAACCATGACATCTACATTGCCAACGCCACAGTGAACGACAACGGCATCTATTACTGCACCGGCTTCGTTTGGCGAATAAACTATACATCTATTCCCCTCAAAATTACTGTTATGAAAGGTGAGTTGGTAGAGGAAAGGGAAGTCTGTAGCAGGGGAAGAAAGAGAGGACGTCTGCGAGGTGGCCGCGGCCTGCAGGACGGGGGCCCCGGCCGCACCTGGGAGAGTCTACTAGACTCCCTGTGAGGAGACCTCGGGCGCAGCGTACCTCAGTCTCTGTCAGATTCCTTCCTTGCTCAGTGGTGATAGTAACACCTGCTCACACTACGGAGTTTTTATGAAGATGAAGGTGTTAATACGTGTAGAATGGATTTGTAAATTGTTAAGTGCAACCCAAGCATAACAGATTGCAATTACTGTTTTGATCTCAAAGTCATCTCTTGCTCCTCGGGAGAACACATATTTATCAAATTGAAAGGGAGTTTTTTCAAAGTGGAAGGAACAAAGGCTGTGGGGAGCTTGCAAACTGGCGTTGGAGGGCTGGGAAGGGAAACCAGCAAGTCAATAGGCTGTGGGCCGTGTACCAGGAGGCGAGCCCCAGGGCTTGAGGAGGCGAGGACAGGCAGGTGGGCTCCTCCTGGGACCAGTGACAGAGGCTGCTCTTCCAAACTTCATCTAAGAGGGGGAGCCTTTGAAATACTTGCTTTGCAAAGAGGAAATGGGACTTTTCGCTTGGCAGCCTGTGCTCATACTAACATCCGACAGAGCGGGAGACCAGCAGGCGGAATTCAGCTCTAATGGCAGTTTTCTGTTAACCAGCTGGAGACCTGAGTGCTATTCAATTGTTGCTGGACTTCCAGTATCCTTATTTGTAAAATAAAGAGGAGGTCTAGACACCTTTAAAATTGCTTGGGGGACTGCAAAAAGCACTGATGTCTGCGTCTCCTCCCTTGAGATTCTGATAATTGGTTTGGAGCGAGGTCTGGGCATCAGAGTTTTAAAAGCTCCTTCAGGTAAATGGTAATGTGCAGCCAGTGTTGTTGAAAGCCAGTGGTCTGCATGATCTCTAAGTGACGTCTAGCTGTAACATTGTGGGGTTCCGTAATTCTAGAATAATCACACAAGTAAGTATTTTGCAAACAGAACTACAAAATAGAACTAGAAGGTATCCTAAAGATGATCTAGACCAAGAACTTCGTTTCACCCAACATGCACACAATAAATGACTGATTGAGAAATAAGACACTGGTGACCCCCTGCTCTCTGTCTCCTTTCAACCCCCAAATGATAGGTAGATGTTGGTCTTGTCAGCTTCAAGAAAGGGGTCATCTTTCCTGTGACCTTCCCCCTTGGGCACAATGGCTAGAGGACAATTGGCTGTCAGACAGGGGCTAGGGTTGGGGATACTCAGGACTCCCTAGGGCTCAGGAAGCACAGACTGAAGAACCTGAATTCATGAGTGTTTTCTCTCTGCCTCTGGAGGCCATAGCATGCTAGAAGACAGAAGACTATGCCAGGCCCTTCTTCTAGGGAGGATGAAGCCCTGAGCCTCATTCTTCAGTTCCTAATAGTGGTTATGTTTCTTGTTGCATCTAGCTTCTCCGTTTGACCAAAGCAAGTACTACTGGACACAATTACTTATCCCATTTTTGGTGACGATTCTGTTTGCTGTGGACACGGGGCTGTTAATATCAACCCAGAAGCAATTCGCATTGCTCATGAAGAATAAGAAGACCAGGAATAGCGGCGGCAAACTTATGGAAATACAGCCTGAGTCAGACCCCTAGAAGAGTTGGTGTCACTCAAGAAAGATGTGCGATAACAATTTCCTTCGGGTACCAGCAAGTGCTTCTCAATTGTCAAACAGCTCACAATGTACATAGAAAGGTCTGTGCTCCAGGCTTTACAGAACTGTTTCACTGAACCAACTGACACTGGTTAAGTGGCACGTAATAGTAGTGCTCAATAAACATCCGTTAAATAAATCTGAAAATGAATAGATTAACTTTTTAGCATCTGTTAGAAGTAAAATTTGAATAAAAGAAGTGTGCAACCATGTAACATGATGCTTCCAGGTAGTTTTTGAGGCTTGCTAGATTATGTTTGCTTCTAGAGGCAAAGGTCATGAAGTTCTCGATAAGAAATGCTCTCTCTTAACCATTATAAATCTGAGCTAGAGATGAGGACGCTGGTGAAGTTGATCGTTGTATTCTCTCTTCAAGTAACTGTCTGTGAGCTCCAGTTCTTGGGGGCAGTCTTGAGCCACAGGACTCTGGGGATGAAGCTCAGTCTAAAATCCCCTGTGATGGTTTCACCTCTCTGAGATCTCCCAAACTCACATCATGAATAACCTCTTACAGCACCTAAACTGAGCATCTTGGGGAAATTTCAGTGGATAATAATTATCAGAACTCTCAGCTCTGAAAACAGTCCAGGACTAAGTAAGAGCTCAGGCGAAGACCTAATCCTTGCTCTTCCCCATCCACTCCACCTCTGCCCATGGAGATGGCTATACTAGGGGCTTGGGAAAAACACTTAGGGAAGAGAGGCCACAAACCGTCGGAGCTGACCATGAGTTCAGAGCCACCAGGGAGGGGTCGCAGCACCTACAGTATAGCTCCTCTGCTTTAGGACAATTAATCACATAAGGAATAAGTGAACCTAGGGAGGAAATTTACAAATATCTGTGAGACTAACAAGCCTCATTTTCTCCAAAGGATGTTTCTGGGCCACAAAACAGAGAGGAATTATTGGAGCACTTTAAAAAGTAAATGTAGTATCTGGTATGAACTTTCTTAACACTCTCCACTTT